TCAAGCATGTAACATAGAGCGCGCCTTCAGCCAACCCATGAAATGGCAGCAGCCACATGGGCTGTGACGCTAAACAGAGTTAGGGAAATGATTACATGATGCAGCTGTGGCAAGAGCCCGTAGAGACAGACTCTAAAGGGAATAAGCAGACACAGACAAGGCCAGGAAACTAAAAGTGAAGGTAGCCCATTTTGTTGAGGTTACACTAAGTAAAAAAAATGAGAGTCGTGCCCATACAAAAATACAACCAATCCCACTGACACATGTAAACTATTCAGTCAAAATGACTACTACAGTTGCTGAAAAATTAAGGAAGCCACCAGCTTAGAGGGCAGCAATAAGTCATGTCATTATGCGCCTTACCCTCAGCCTCGTGCCTACATGTTCTCTGTGCAATGACAGAAGATGCTGCTCTCCCTTTTAGCATATGACCCATCATGGGATATGTGTCTCACTGCAGCCATACATGAATGTGCACTCTGCAACTGGTCCTCACAAAGTGTGGGCTTTGGAGGGTTTTCTTCTGGCATCAAAAAAAGCATTGCACCATCTACTACAATACTGTTGCCCAGGTGATCTCCATTTGGATTATCAGATGAACATCACTGGGACTGACCAGCAGACTCCTCTTCAGCAGCCATCTGAGCTAGAAGCCTGATGGGTCGTGCTATTTTACCTCCCTCCTCCCCTTTTTTGTTTTTTAATGCGGCTGAAATTAAATTTCAGACAAAAACATTCTCACTGGATCCAAAAGGCTGAAGCAGAGCTCTGGTTCTGCTGCACCTAGAACGGGTTGCCTAACATTACATCCTGAATTTAATCTTTGAGACTGCTTTTCAGCTGCTTGTGACCTAACATCTTTCTGGTGAGCTGAGCACTCATAGAGCCCTCAGTTGCAGTAAGAGCTGCCAATATTCACACCATTTGATAGAAAACCAAGAGAATTATTTCAGACAGAAGAAACAGATCTCTTGTGCTAACAGAGTAAACACATTTGGGGTCTGACTTTGCCAAAAGCTCTCTTCTCTAACAACTGCTGGAGTGGATCTGCTAACATTTAAGAGATATCCAGCACTCTATATTGCAAGAAGCCACTTCCAGCTGCTTATGTTTTTAGCAAATTTATTTTTTTAAAGTAAATTTTAATTTAATTTAAACTGCAACCCAAACATCCCTGTTCCTACCTTGGAAATGCTTGGAGCCTTGCATTAGGTGTGGTGTTTAAAGGTTTTTGATTGCCCCCATACAAGCCTTCTGTATAACAGCCATTCTCCAGGCCCAGTGAAGCACCATTATGGCAATGTTCCACATGCCGGAGGTAAAGCTCCTTACAGTCCTCTCCTGCCAGAGGAGTATGGAGTGAAATGAAACGCCTAGAATCAATTTAGCAGCTGATGGATTTGTCATTTAGGAAGGGGAGCAGAATGGAAACACTTTATATGAGCCTCCTTCATGGTCAAGTCAAGGAGCTAGTTACAGCTCAACATATTCTGATGCAGTTCTTGGAGTCCGCCTTGAGCAGGTCACTTCAGACCTGGTCCTGGAGGTGCTGTCATTTGCTTAAACAACACAGAGATGAAAACTTCAGTCTCTCCGGGTCTCTGGCACTGGATCTAATATGCGTTTCTCTTGTACTTCATGATTACCGTGTTTAGAGAGACAGCTCTTTGCAACTGGGTGCCTAAAGCCAGATATGCTCCTGAAATCTGCTTGAAAAATACATCGGCCCTTCAGGCAATCAACAGACGAAAACAATGGAAATAATAACAAGAACGATAACAGGATGAACATTCAACATTATGAGTGAGGATCCTTTGAAATCTGTTAGTGACAGGGGAAGAGGAGTGTCAGTGCACCAGCATTCACCATGTTTCATTGCATAATTCCAAGAATTTCTGCTTCTCCTTCATTTCAGAAAGACAATTAAGTAGCGTCTGGCTTCTATATTTTATTTTTTCTCATCTACTAGCCAGCTGAAGAATAAACACACAACTAGGAGCTGTATTCACAGACAGGAAGTAACTTTAATTAAATATTGTGAAAGTTGAAAAGTTTTTACAGCTTGAATTTCTGCAAAAAAATTATAACAATCTCTACAGTAGTTTCTCTAACAATAGAACTGTACAGTGTGTGTGTCTATTCAAAAAGATTTAGATAAGAAGGTGAAAGGTTAGTAGTTTCAGAGATGACTTCATTTTAGCTGCATCCTAGTACAACTGTGAGGAAATAGGCATACTTTATGCAATCCAGTCATTGTGAAGATTCACCTTGTTAAAACTGAAATCTGAATGTTTCCACTTAAAGCCATATTCTGTAAACAGCTGCATCTTTTACTTTGTAAAAGATCAGGGTGGTGCAGGGGAGATTTTTATAAATTCCGATTCGTCAGATCACTATAAATAGCTGCAACAAAACAAGATTATGCACATTGTCAAAGGATCTTTGGACACTGGAGTAGAAGATTACAAACAACGATGGCGAAAATTTGTGTCAAAATCGCTACAACTTTGAGTGGAGCTCTACAAGAATAATTGATGGTGTCACTGGACAAAATATGGCTTTAAATTTGATTACATTATCGTGCTGTTGCTTACTATGTGAATTAGAATAATCGCTTGGAACACAGAGAAGCAGTAAACTGATGTCTCTCACATTTTCCAGTTTTCTCTTCTTTTATTTTCTCACCATGAAAAAAAAATCCTGTTTTCTTCCCTTACCCCCCAAGATCCCACTGTGACATTCTAGTGAAAACCATTGCAAAATTCATACAGGAAGCATGCACAGTTGCAGCATCGTTGTAAATGATTTCTTGCTCGACTAGAAAAAAGTTATATTGTTTTAAGGTAACAAAACAGTTCTTTTGTGCTTTTCAATTCCTTTTTTTTTTTTCTTAGAATGTTAGTGATGATTGACAGTTCTGGTGCACAGTACAATGTACAAGTGAAATGAATATGATTTGCATTGTTAAGGCATCCAATCTGCTGGTTTATATTTATGTGAAAGACAGAGAAATATACAAGCAGACTTAAGAAAGAAAGTATTTTCATTGAGTTCTATGAAGTTTCTCCCCATATTTAATGCACAAAAATGCGTCACTCCAAAGAGGAGAAATCCCATGCATATTAATAGAGTAAAACAGCATTAGTTTTTGTTAAGCCTCAAAAGCAAAGGATACATTTTTTTTAAATCTACATAACTAAATGCTACAAGAATAATATGCTACTTTTTGCCATATATTGGAAAAAACTTCTTAACTTACAAATAATACAAAAATAGACAATGGCTTTTGGGTGGAAATTAAAAAAAATGGAAGCATGGTTTTAAACAATACTAAAAAAAACTATAAATGAAATGTTTTAAAATCACATTTAAACAGCTAATACAACGGTGAATGACCAAACAAATCAGCACTTTTCACATAGCAAACATACACAATAAAATAAACTTGGTAGGGGATAAAAAGCAATGTACAAATTCCAAAGATAAATACATTATTTATATGGATATTTTACAAAATCCCCCTTAAAACAAACAAACAAAAAACAGAAACAAAAAGCTTTTTTTTCTTTAATTAATTTTGCAAGTATGTGCAAGCTAAAGATAGTGAGCTTTTTTTGCAAAATATGCAGTAAAATTCTTTTTTTGTGATATTGAAAAACTGTCTTAAGACATTAAAATGTATAAATAGAACAACAACTTTGGCAAAAAATCACAAAAAATCTACAGTATTTATAACTACATACAAAACACAACAGCAAAGAAAAAATATCAGGTAATGCATCTTCAGAGCTTTGCTGCCTCTTTGACTAATAGTTTTTAAGAACACTTCCCAGATAATTATAGCAAAATTTTTGTAAAACAGAAGCTATGGTTTTGATTTGAAACCTTTCTAACAGCCCCACCCCCAAACTCATGTTTCCATTTACTATTCAAAAGCAGTTACCTGTTGCTTAATATATTATGATACAAACTGAGAGGGTCGACTGATACAGGAGCAATCCTAGTGGGAGGCTGACGAGAACGCGTGCTTTTAGATCGTGAGGATGCAGAACTGCAGATGAGTCTGCTCTCATTCTGCCCCATAAAAACAAACCAGTCAAGGGGAGAGGGGCTAGGCTGAAAACACCCTACGTGTGACGGCCGCGGTCTGTTTCGTTAGATGCCTATGCGAAATGCAAACGGCATTTTATGCGCACCCCAGGTGATGCTACACTTCAAGAAAGCCACTCATGTGGAAAGAGTCTGATACATAAACTAAAGAGAGAGCCACGCTCATCTAATCCTGCAGGCTTAGTATTGTATCTAGAGGCACTGGATTTTCACTCCAAGAGGAAATGTGTTTGTTATTCGCATCCTTACCTTTCCTTTCACCAACTTTTCTTGTTGCATTATTTACACAATTATTTAGCCTGATATTAAAGACAGAGGTTACTAAGCCCACCCCTCATCCCGCCCTCGTTATCCAAAAATATCAGCTTTCTAGGGAGTGATATCTACTTAATTAGAATATTACATATGCATCATATTAGCAAGTCACCACTGGATAAGCAACCTATATGAGCCGACCCTTTATTAAATGGCCATAATTCTTCTACAAAAAACTAACTGGCACTTCTATTCTGTCCCATACAGACTTGTATGTAAATGACACCACTTCATTTTTCTTTACACAGCTTCAAAAAAAATAAATCATAAATTAAAAATGTGGAGTTCCATCTCTAGTGTCCCTTGTGTAATTGTATGATTTATAAAAGACAAATGGTGTTGAGTTAAATCAAGCGTTAAAACCTGCCCCCCCAAAAAAAAAAAAAAAAAAGTGGATTTTTTTATCAACATACAATAAATATATTTCCCAGGTATTTGGGATGGACAACTCGAATCAACACCTTGCAATTGTAGATTGTTAATTTCAGTATTTGCAAGGATGGTGATTTTTGTTTTGTTTAAAAATCCGCAGTTATTGTAAGATTCTTCTTTATTTCTTTTATATTTTTAAAAAGGCCTGAGTAAAAAGTTCCACTCTGGGACTTGTATCAGATTCTCTCTGAAGCAGAATTCAACCTCTTCATTAATAAAATTCTTCAAGGCAATTCTTTCACATGGGGGGAACAATCATGCCAGATATAGCTGTCAGAAGGAAAGGGGAAGAGGGCGGGGAGAGAGAGAAGGAAAGAGAGTTACTTTTGTGCTTTATCAAGCAACTTTTAAAATACTCAGAGCTTTTAAACATTTACTAGCAACATACTCCGCTGTAATGTGAATTAAATTTGTACACAAGTATCTTCTAGTAGAGACAACTACGTACACATTAGTCACGGGAAGCCTCATTCTGATTGGAAAGTGGTTTAAACTGCAAGTGACTCTGCTGAAATTAGCGATTTTCTTGCATAAAATGTGCATTTCCCCTGATATCAGAGTCAGACCCCAACTTAATTTTCTGATATTAGTTTCAAAATCTCAAAATGCTTAGGAGGCTTAAACCTGACCCAGCCATTGCCACACATTCTCTGACTCTTTTAAAAGCAAAGCAAATATTTGCTCCACACAGAAGAAATGGCTGGAGTCCCATCGGTCACCGATTTTACAGACCTGGTAGGGTGTTTGTTGCATTAGGCTCACTAGCAGTGGTTCATTCTCCCATGCCAGCTGCCACTTACATGTTCAGTGTTCAGCCTTGGGACTTACGTATGTATTTCCAGGTGCTCAGAGAAGGATTCAAACTCTCAAACCCATTTGTTCAAATCGAAATACCTTCTTAACTGGTGGTTTAGCAGCCTGGTGTCTCATGGTTTTCTTACACTTGTAGCAGACATCACCAACTACATTGAGTGACTCGCATGTCAGTATTAATTTAGAATGTCTTCTCTTTTGTTGGCTAAGTTGAATCACCAGTATTTCTTTATTGTGCTTCCTAATCTCATTTTCTACAAATCCACCAGCCCTCTTAAAGAGGAGACATTCATTAAAAGTCAGCAGGTACAGACGTCCACCTAGCTTGACCTTCACCTCGGTCTCCCTCTATTTACCAGGGACTCTATGGAGATCAGACATAACCAAGATTCAAAGCGATATACTGTGAGCAAGCACATCATTACAGGAGGTAGTCACGCAAGTTTATGATGAAAACTGCAACAACTCTGCATCTTTAAAATACCAGTTGCATGGTTATTTGCCAAAAGGTGGAAAACAGATTTGCCTTCAGGTTGGCGGCACTTCATGGGCACATTATTTAAATGCTAGAACTGCCTGCCATCTCAGACATCTGGGCATGTAATTTCTTAAGGAAGATCTCAACCCTGTGACTGGTGCTGATTCATTGTGCTTTAATTACAGCTGCAATTATTTGATAAGAACAGAGCCAAAGTAAAAGACTCACAGATTTGGGGTTGGAGGGGGAGAGGAGGGAAATGTTTTCTCCACAAACATCACCATATGTGCAAGAATTACAAGTCTAATCAGCAAGGGGAGAACAGCTCAAGTAAACTGCACTGATTAAATGAAATAAAATGAGAGGAGAAGGCGAGAATGCAAAACACATCCACATGTTTGCAACAGGCCATCCTCAGAGGTGACATGTTGCAACTATACAGCAGCATTTCAACTCTTAGAATTTATCATTCAGCAGTGATTTTATGCAGAATCACTGTACTCATTTCTTCCACTCCACATAAGGGCTCTTCAAGGAGCAGAGAATGAGGATAAAAGGGATAGAGAGGTGAGCTAAGTTGCTTTAAGCCCTACAGGAAGATACTCAAGTGAGTAGGTTAGAAGACACCACTGTTTCTTAGACGTTCCTTGCTTAGGTATTTCCTGTCATACGCTTTTTTGGCCATGGAGATAATCTGAGGATGCATTTTCATATTATCTCTGTGGCTATGCTGTCTCCTTCATCTCAAATCATAGTATGAATTCGATATTGTCTTTTTTTTCCAGAATCCTTGGTGATTTAATCAACGCTGGGTGAAACAACAGCAACTTTGTTGAGAAAATTTCTCAAAGGTTTTTATTTCAGCAGTGAGTTCTGAATCCTTACAACTGGGCTGTCGCCTTGGTACACATGACTGAAAATGAAGCAAACCCAAGCCAAGCGATGCTCTCGTTGTGGTTGCTCCCTGCTCCCCTCTTGGGATCCTTACATGTGGGCCAAGGTGTTGGCCCTGAACCATAGACCTCTATGGCATCAATGAAATAGGTATTGACAGCGATTGATACAGTCAACCAGACTATAATTCTGCTGTGGCAGCCCTACAATGCAACAGCCTGCAGCTACAGGTGAATGCAAGTGAGCAGAGTCAGATGCATAACTCATCTTCTACTACTTTAACCTTTTTTGTCCTTTCCAGCACTTTCCAAATTCTAAAATTAGTGAAACATTAAAGCAGGATCTTGTTTTGCTTTAGAAAAATTACCTATACATCAGAAAATGTCAAAATAATTTTCTGGCAAAAAATTCTTAAGCTAAAAGACTCATCAAAACCAAACCAATTTCACCAAAACGTGGTCAAGAATTGTATTTCTCTTGGGATAGCACAGCTGCTTACCCTCAGTAAGAGCCCAAACAAAGGTGACATAATTGCAACTCTTCCCTTCACGGCTCAGACATTTCCCTGTAGTTACATATCAGCCATACAAAAGCCATTGGAAATAAATGGTACAGATGCAGATCTTCCCTCATTTTTTCAAAGCATTACTGTTTTTGAAGAGCTCTGAAATTCTGAATTAAATTACAAGGCAAATGGCAAAATGATATCTTTTCTGCCTAAAAGCTTTGATATTTTCATTCTTTCCGAGGCTTCATTTATATCACTCTACTTTTGTTCTGTAAGTGCTACATCTAGTCATGCAAATTCTCTCAGCTGTAGCATGTTATTGATCCTGAAAACAGAGATATCAGTGGGAAGCAGTGTAGGTATGAGATCACACCACCTCCGAAAAGGGAGGGCAGAGTAGAAAAACTCCCACCAATGGGCATTATTTCTTCTATCATATACTAATTCGTGTTTGCTGCTAGCAAATTACAGAAATAATGTATTTTGAGTTTTACAAAATTGCATGGCAAAGAGAACAACAGATAAGCCTAGCTGTTGTTTCAGTGAGTTCTGCTGATACCTAAGCTACATAAGGAAAGCTTGATTGCTTTCTGATGTATCCAGAAGCCCAAGAGAGATAAGACAGCCTCCTTATACACGGTTGTTTATATAAACAATAAGGCACAACAGGCAGTGCATTTCTGAGTGATTATTACAAGCCTCAGGTGGTGTCAGAAGGCATGGGACTGAAGGCTGTGTGTCTAACTCACCAAGAAGTTCAGTGATGACCTAGAAATGAACCATCTCTTGGTGTCTCATTCCTATTATGAAAACTGAATTGCTAAATAAAAATTGGGGGAAACACTCAGATCTGTGCAGTTTCTAGGCATGACAGATCTGGATGTGACATAATGAGGAGGCAATCAGCAAGCCCCAGTTGTGTCCAGTGCTCTCAGCTCATTCCATAATTGCTTTTCACAACCGAGTATGTGGAATCTGGGAATTCCATGTATTGTGAAAGGAAAATTAGTGACTGAAAAAGCTTTCTCCTGTTACTTGCTTGTCCTCTCCACCCACAATAGCAAGTTGGGACAAGGTGAAGAGAAGAGAAGAACATTAACATCTCCAAAAGCTTTTAGCAGTCAACTCATAGCTCCTTTTTTATTTTTTTAATTTGGAGGTGAAACATTTTTAGCTGTTGCCTTTAAAATTTGTAGCATGTCGGCAGTGACAAATTTTTAAAACATGCAAAAATGAATCTCCTAAACACTACAGCTCATCTGAAAATCATGTTGTGTTTGATTCCTCATGGTCTGTATTTCTAATAAAGTCCTGACTGAAATTACCCAAGTTCTGCTTACATGTTCCTAGTATTTTCACAATTTCTGTGTGCGTGTCTATACATCTGCAAGGATTCCTCCTTCCAATTCACCAGCGTAAAATGCACTGAGGACAATGCTTTCCTTCAGTCACAACAGATCCAAGCTTTTATGAATGAATTCCTTCCACTCTGCCTGCACACAGATTTTTCTGTCTGTTAATGGTGCTATCAGCATTATGCCCGCAAGCCCAGCGTTTCTCTTTCCAGAGGCTGTAGAGTGACATGTGGAGTCTGCGGAACTATCTTCCCCCGGCTCTACACAGCTCCTTCTGAACATGGCTTTAAAAACGATGGATTTTATTCCCTGCTTGATACTCTTTGCATAATTTGCACAGGCACATGGAAAGGAAAACAGATCTCAGGTCTGGGGGAAGCACAGCGCATACCACAAAATCTTTCCCACCTCTGGCACAGTTGGAGGCAGCTGGCTGCATCTGCTTATGGAAACTCCTCGGTCTAAGCGAGCATGAAAATGTCTCTCTCAGCACACTAATGGGTAGCGAGGTAATTACACGGGAAGGTTTAGGCACAGTGTTGTAAAACAGGCTGAGCCAAACAATGAAATGGGCAGTGCTGGTCTTTGCAGCATCCTCAGTTTGACAAGCTTTTGTCTGTCCCTGCCTCGGCTTGCATCAATGCTTCAAAATGTATTTAGGTGCTCATGTTGGAATACTTTGTAATGAGAGGGTAAGGGATACAGAAAAGGAGCAGCCCCTTGATACCAACAGTTGAAGAGGCTTTCAAAAAGGCCCTGCACCACTTCTGGCATTAATTGGCACAGAAATACATTAATCAGTGGAAACTAATGTTTGCCCTGGTATGAGTTAAACTGGAAAATGCTGCTGTTAGTTTGTAATATGTCTTCTATTTATGAAAGGCAAAGGTTTGTGCCAAGCTCTGTAACAGTCTATTTGCTCTCAGTAGGATTTCTGCACAAGTGTACTACGACAAAGGAAATAAAGGAAGGGAAGATTGAGTGACGTACTTCAGGAGAAGGCCAGCCCCTGGAGAGACCCTGCAGTGGAGTACTTGCTAGAGTCCACAAAAGACTGGTCTGATAAAGGACGACAACAGGGAATAAGAGAGGAAAGAAAGAAAAAGGGTGGTATTAGTAAGCTGAAATATTACTCGTTTTTATCATAACAGTAGGTCTGTGCTTTAAAAGACACGGTCTCTCAATTCAGCAGTATTAGTTGAGTTAGTCGAGTTAGGTGGTTGCCTAACATCTGCATGATGCTAGCTGGGCTGGTGGTGGAGTCCAGTTACTCTTTACAGGAGGAAACTTTAGGACAGAGACCACCAGGGATCCCCCAATGTCTTCTATCCCCTTTGACAACTCAGTGTCACTTAGAGCCTCACGAGGCACCGGGAACTCACAGTTTTGAGAGCAGCCATCTATGCTCCAGACTTTGTTTCACTTACCTTGCAGGCTATTGCCATTGGTGCTGGTGCAGGTGGGAGGAGGAGAAGTTTGTGGTCTCACAACAGGCGCAAAAGCACTCTTCTGTTTCACCGCTGAGACCATGTTGGCTGGTGAGAAGGAGAAAATCCCAGAGGAACTGCTACAGTTTGAGGGAAGGCTAGTGGAGGAGGCCATTGTCGGACTTGATGGCACAACTAGAGGAAAAAAAGACCCCCCCAAAAGACATTCCTTGGTATTAGATAATCAGCAGGTGACAGAAACAAGAGAGTTCTGCTTCTTGGATGCACTGGGTCTAATTTCAAATGGCCAAGGCCTTTACTGCAGTTAGATTTCTGGTTCACAAAGTGTGGTCAATCACTACAGGAAACCCAGTTGTTGTTTTGTTTTGATTTGCAGGTGTTTAGGAGCAGTAATTCTAGGAGCTCTTAAACACTCCCTTAATCCTCTGTCACTGCAACTCTTTATTCTTACCACGACCCTGTCCTGTCATCCTGTTTCAACTTTTCTGGTGATTGTCATTAGCCACTGCCCTGGTCCGAATTTGTAATGTTTTTGAGTAGGCGGCTAAGAGGGAATCCAGACTGTGTAGGTAACTCCAAGGTTACAAAACTGATGGGCAAGGAGAGTAGTTAAAGTACAAATCTGGATCTGGAATTTTTCACTTGGAAAGGTTTGAGTATTTAACTGGCCTCCAAACCCAGTATTTTCAGCCATGCTTTCCTTGTAGCAAGACGGCTCCAGCAAGTCCTATGGGGTTTCAAGAAATCTGCAGAAGGTAGAAAGGTCTTAGTGGTAACCCAGTCAACGTGCTTGTCAAAAGTCAGCAAAAATGACTGGATTTCTTTCCTTTCTCAAACCCTGCAAGAACTAGGGGTTAAAAGGAGTTATTCCAAAAGCTGTGAATATATATATATACACATATATATACACGGAGGCTGTTCAGCATGAAGGAACCAGTGAGACAGCAACTCTGACAGTTTTTCACTCCTTTGGTCTCCTGGCACTAGTGTTTTCAGTGTCTGTTGCACAAAAAAAGTGTGGATAACTGAGAGAAATCATGCCTTTCTTTCATCTCCCAATGGGAGAAACCACTAAACCTGTCTCACAATGGCCACAGATGCTTTCTGTCTTACAACTGCTAGTACCAAGTCAGTCTCCAGTTTCCCTGTATCCATCAGCATTGGGAAAGTTTCTGCTGTTGGGACTTCCCAGGAATTCTCAGTGACATGAAAAACAGTCATATTTCTCATGTGACCATTATATTTATGCAGAGGACCAGCTGGCATTTTGTATCTCACACGAGATGGAGAATTCTGAAAATGAAACTGTTTTTATAATATTCAAGACAAATAATTCTCCCAGAGGATCTATGACCACTGCCTGAACACAGTCAATACAACATTCTTATTCAGAGCCATCGACTGGAATCTCAGCTGGAATAGCTAAGCAATGAAGCCATTCTGGTTTATACAAAATGAAGAACTGGCTTTAATTGTATGACTGAATAAAACATGAGTCTTCAGTTTTTCTAAACAAGTGTGGATACAAGGCTGTCCTTTTTTAGGGACTGAACCAATTGTCCAAAATGCATACCTCCATGTGGGAGGTTCAGTTTTTAAATATATGTATCCTTAAAACTCTGTTTTACTGTGTAGTGGGATAAATAACTTCGGTTAGAATATTTATCATTGAGGTTTTAAGTGAATTTATTGTCATGAAAATAAAGCCAACCACTTTTATATTTAGACAGCATTGCCAGATTCCCCTCTTTGTCCAAAAAGTATGCATTTTGGACAATTGGTTCAGTCCCTAAAAAAAGGTAAGGACCAACGGTAAGATCCCATACTTTCATTATTCCTCCTGTTCAGAATACACAAGGGGGCTATGAATAATTACAAACTATAGAGTAAAATTCCTATCATCTGGGCTTTGAATTATTATTTTATTTGCATTTACGTAGATAAAAATCACCCTATTTAAGCTCTTATTTGAGAATCTGATATCATATTTGTTAACACTGAGGAAATCAATTAATGGAAATTAAATGTTCAAAGTTTCACAGTCTGACAGATACAATCTTAGTCTGAAGTCACTCTATGTCTGGAAGTACTTGCTAAGGGAGAGCAATCAAAGCACCTAAATTGAATTGCTACTATACAGCAATTAGTTTATTGATTTAATTAAGAATGCCACCTTTTAATTTTCAGGTCATGATTGAAGCTTTTTCTGATTCAATGGATTAGGCATTAGCAGAATGACAGATCTACCAAGAAAACCTCCCAAAATATAACTAGAAGAAAGAACCGAGGCTGGGAAGTGAAGTGCTATTCTAAAGAGGACCTCGTTCATAAATACGAAATAATACACTGCTAGAGTATTTTAAATGCATTACTGGCATCTGCTTCCAAAAAGAGATGTCTCATCAATCATGTTATATTATGAATTCAGAGCATGCAGATTCTGTGACAGTACATTCAACTTAATAAGTAAGGTACTTCGTAACATTTCTTGTTACATTATTATTAGAGCACAAAAATAATAACTGGTTAGCAATTCCCAGGTTATAAGTACTAGTTATGTGGATAAATATTTTCTTCTAAATTTGCAGCAGCTAAGAAGCCTTGGAGGTATTTTTTAAAATCAGAGTTTCTATATCCTTTTTAATTCTGAACCCTAGCAATGCAATTCAAAATAATTCGTTAGTGCTGTTACACCCTAAACCTAAGATTTGCTGCATAAACCTTGGTATGTTCAGCAGTTTGTTTGTCTTGCCCATGCTAGGGTGTCAGCCTATCAACCTATTTATATGATAAGACCTTCTGGCTTGATTCTGCTAGCAGCTTTCTACAGATGTCAGTGGAATCCTTTATGCCACATGAATAACGTCAGAGGAATTGAGCAAGTCCTATTCATTTAATTTTCTCATGTGAATAGGGAGTTCTGAGCTGTGTGAGTGGCTTCAGAAGAGGTTCATAGGCCTTTACCAATAGAAATGTATTTTTATTTAAAGAGGTTACTAAACCTTTAATATCAAAATGCAGAAAGTTAGTCCCACACATAAATATTTCCATAACTGGGACTGTAGACAATAAGCTCTTTACGCCATGGAATGTATGATTTGTACAACTTACACCTTCGTGGCATTCACTGTACAGACACTAAAACACAAACTCTGAGAGCCATTGTCACATTTTCCTGACTAGTACTAAGCTCTCAGTGAAGTCAATATAATACCTACTTACAAAGCAAATGGAGTATAAGCAATCAAGATTAGAACCAACAGTAATTCATAATTTCTATAAAGGTTATGAACATATTATTTGCTCAGAGGTCTTGGAAACATCAACATGCAGCTCATGGAAATGTCAGTCTTATTACAGTAAACTTTTCTGCCCTTCATATCTTACAGCAGGAAAAACTTTTTCCTGCAGCAAGAATCATTAGCTTCCTTTCATACCCACTGCAACAAAATGTGGTGTACTGACAACTGACTTTTGATCCACTCCAATGGGCACTAAGTCACTTCTGCCACCCCTCCTTTTTAGCAACGTTGAGGAGGGCATTTCTTATTTACAGAGTATAAGGTGAGTTATGAAACTATCAGCCCAAATCATGAGAGACGTTATTCTCTTTAAACTCTTATAAGACTCCCAAATAATAATAATAATAATAACAATACAACAGAGAAGAGCGTTGCTGGCAACACTAATGTCTTCAACGTGATTCAAAGATCAGTGCCTTGGAGAGGAAAGAAAGGACAAAGCTCTGTTTCAAGTGCTCAAAACAGAAACTAAATATTGAGTATGACAGAAAAGTCACAACCTTCTTCTAATGAAAATGTGCAAAATACAGAAAAGCCACATAATACTCACTGGCATAGGGAGAATTGGCAGCAGATCCATTCAGGAAGGTTGGAGAACCACCTAAATTTGACATTCCAGCATTCCCATAGCCATTCATGCTTGTTGTGACAGAGTTATAATTTGTCTGCTGAGGGGTGGTGCTTGGCACATAGCCATGAGGTGACACGCTGCTTGAGTTGCGAGTAAAACCTTTTGTAGGGAGGGAACACATTTAGAAATTGGTATTAGCCCGAGAACAGTTTGTTACACAAACAGCTACAAGCAAATAATTCTGGGCTACCAAGCCAGCAGCCTAGAGCAGCCATGGTGTGCACGGGGAGGGCCAGGGCTGACCACCGCTACCACCAGGTAACCCAAACTGTGAACCCTCACTGCCTAGGTCATTGCTGGTGGGAGCACAGAGCAGCAGGAGGGAGGCTACAGCCTTCACAGCTCCTCAGGCAACCCACACCCTCAAGCAAAGATTAAAAAAGTGTTACAGGAACACTCATTCTGTTTGTAGGAAATGGAGTAAACATGACCTATATTTTCAAAGTGAGGAGTACGTACCGACTTAAGGTATGTTAAAAGCATGTGATTTTTGTTATCTCTCTTCTGATGTCGCTCTCGTTTAATGCGTCTCAAAATAGATGCTCACTGCACAATTTAGAAAATGTAGGGTATATTTCTCAAAGTAGTGGGGATATTCTTAATCTTTTTCCCCTGGTCTGATCATTATGTTGGTAGAAAATGGCTATCAAATTTTGCTCTAAGTTAAAATCTGAATCTCTACCTAATTCTGGAAATGACATTTGGGGAAACTGATATCCAAATATCCAAAAAGGAAGATTTGTTTCTAGAAGCACAGACATATAAAATGCATCTTCCCTCCTAGAAGAAAAAATGCCAGCTTCCCTTCCTGCCACACAGTGCATCCATATAATATTTTAATCTAAAAATCTTCTCTATTTTTTTAGCCTCATTCTAATACTTTCGCCCTACAGTGGATTTTTAAGTGGAATAGTAAAGAGAGCTGAGCAAAGGAGAGGGGAAAATGCAAAGAGTTTTTACAAAAATGTTCTTCACACTTTTTACTTATTTTTAACTGCAGGAATTAAAACCTTATTGATTTTATACAAAGTAAAACCCACTTTATTTTAAAAATTAGAGAAGCTCTGAAAATATCTTTGTAAATACTTCTAATTTTTGCTGATTTCAAAATATAGAAAAGTCTCAAACTCTGAAAAAAAATCAGTGCCAGTATTATGTCTCTTGCAAAACCAAACTAAACCAAACAGACAAATATCGAAGGGATACTTCTGTGTTATAAAGAAACGCGACATAGGGCCCAGACTGAGAGATCATCCATGCTCAGGAAAATATACAAGCAACTACTTAACATTAAACACATTCTCAAGTCGATATAAATCCTTTTAAAATTAGTGAGATTTAAACACAGATACAGGTGTTACTCCAAGCAGAAGGAAAAGCTATTTAGATATCTGCAGAAGTGCTTTTCCCGAACAGGGGCAAAAGTGACTGCAGAAAGCCCCCTCTCATGACGGGTATTGTGGCATTCAAAGGTTGTGCATGCGTGTGGGATGTGTCTGTCTAGACATGCTCCTAGTCTTCCGTTTTGAACCACCGCTCTTTCACTGCTCTGCACGTGTCCCTGACTTCCATCAGAAAAGGTTCATAGAGAGAGGAAGATGAGTCTTCTCCTGACCCTGATTGGTGGCTTGTGAGGCTTCGGATACATTGACAGCTAGTTGACCACTAAAGGAATTCACTCCCATCATTCCCGCATGGACCGACGTGTTAGCAAGGGCGGGGAGCTGGTTGTGATTGCGGGGGACACTGTAGAGTGCTTCTGCGATGTCTGCTGCTCTTTTCAGGATTATTTCCTAGAGGACAAGAAGGGAAAAAGATAATAAAAGAATTACAAATGCAACTCTGACAAACCTTTTCTTACACACTAAAATGAAACATTTCCCTATCCAAAGGCAAAAACTAGATGCTTTTCTTTCTAAACCAGTTGGGCGACTGATAACTGATGCTTGTAAGATCTGCTGCCTTCATGATAAATCCTGACATCTGTAGTAAGAGAGTTTGAAGTTTCAGTCCCAGTGGCCACGCTTCTGTATAACAAGACCAACTGGCAGAATGGGGCTGGAGCCTAGACTTACTCCACCTTAAAGCTAGCTTCAGGATTAGATTGAAAATTCACTGGCGGCAAGACATAATGCCTGTCATTGCCCATATTACATAGTGTCTCGTGAAAGTGGGCAAATGCCTCCAGGGTTAATAACATGTTGTTTTTACAAGCACTGAATTTAAACCCTTTTTAAAAAGAAAACAAGCAAACTAAACCCCACTCCAGATATGACATTGCCCTCTATGTTTCTTCTTGTCTCACACTGTAGTATCATATACCTTTAGCCCCTGATCTACCTATACATCTAAGAAATAGCCATGTTTTAGACTTGGTGAAGTAGAATGCATTTACCTGGTTATTATGTGGCATACCATAGAGTGCTTCTACTAAGTCAGCAGCCCTCTTCAGTATTACTTCCTGTCAATACAAAAACAGATGCATTCCTCTGAGTTCAATAAACTCCTTGGGGGGAAAACAAATATTAGAATCTTTTATACTCTTCCATTAGTTGCACTGTGTTTTGTGGGGCTTTTTTTCCTCCCACCAGGTACACCTTAATTGTAACAACTCACAGCAACCACTGAATGGTGTTAAATCACTAGTTCATCCTATTCACATACACGCTTAATCAAGTCAAAAGGTGAGAATCACTGGTGCTGCAAAATAAAATACATCACTCAATTGTCTCTACCATCTGCACTATAAACCACTCATCGGTTTATTGCAGAATACAATCCTGAGGTCATTTACTAGATTACTGCAATCAATGTCATTCAGAGCATGTTATGAATCCCTTCAATGTGTTTATTTTATTCTTAATTGCATACTGCAGGAATTGTGACCTTACCCAGCAGGCCACGTTCAAAAGATATCCAATCAGTCCTATGCTACTGGCAATGCAACATTTCACCTTCTCTGGTTTGTATCCTGATACGATGGGTCAGGGTAGGATTCATGCACATAAAATGATGCACAAGAGGAAGACACATGTAGTGTGAGAGAACGGCCTAGTACAGTGCAGTGTTTCCTGAAAAAAATCCCTGCATGGACAGCAGAATTTAAAACAGTCTGGAATTTAGTTCTCTATTTGGGGCAAATTTTTTTTTCCCCATTTTCCTATTCATTTCTTTTCACTTAATATTTCTTAGAATATTTTAAACTGGCATTCAATTAATAATAGTATTTCCCGTGTTCTTACATTTTACAGTGTGGAAAAATCTCTATGAACAATTCTGATATAAAATGTAAAAATGCTTTGCAGAATTAGCCCAGAAGTTGTTTTTTTCTTATTCTTTCAAAGCATCCAGCAGATTCCCAATTGCCTGATCAAAACCAGTCGAGACTGTCCTTTGAGTAAAACAATATATTTTTGTAATTCCTAACCCCTAAGTATTGCTTTAATATACTAACACAATGCTATTCACCATGGTGTATTTCTGCAGGTAACTTACAAAAATAGTTCCAGTTCTAAGTATTTTACAGTTATCTACAAAGTTAAACTTTTTAACTTCAAATATTTTACACAATAGCCATATTTTATACCAAAAAGAAACAGTAATGCTCAATTTTCATATACTGTAGACTCTGATCAGAAAATAGAGATATAATTGCATTCATTTTGCTGTCACCATAACCTCTTCAAAAATCCTTGAACAACTCTTCAAATGACAAGCTTTTAGATGCATATTAGCATTTTTTTCAATTTTAAATTCTCTATAATATAAGATAAAATAGTTGTCATACTACAGTAACTACTTATGACATATATAATGTCCTAAATTCAAAAATGAGATGGAGGATTTTTGTACTCCCAGTAAACATTTAGGCTTGCCTTCTGCTGCACACACCCCTCTCAGAACACACATTTAAATTATTTTCCACATATGAAGTGAGATGTAATATATAATTGATGGATTTTTAAATCACTACACTTACAAAAGATTCTGAAGAGTTAAATTGCTACAGCCTTTTTCTGGTTTTATTTTGGGTTTTTTTTTTCTTTCTATTGTGATTGTTGTGTTGGGGGGGGATTTATGCAGCTCGACCACAGCAGTGTGCAGTATAACCATGGCCAGACAGACTAAAAACAACATCCAGGTACAATCAATCCTTGTTGCTTTGCCAGAAACATTAGAACACTGAAGATACAAACTAGAGAAGAACAGAGATGTTACTGAAAAATGTTATCTTTTTCAGGTGGAAAATTACTGCACAGGTGTTTGACTTTGCAAACTAGGATTTATTTCACTTCAGTAGAAATTGTTTGCACTATATATTTTACTGATGGAAAATTAGAATGTGATACAGAGCCACAAACTGCTTTGGAATATTGTTAACCTAAGCTGTCATTATGCCAAATTACTAAAAAAAAGGAAGTTTAAATAGTCATTTCTGCTCTACCTGACTAATCATAATTATTTATGTAATGCTGAGCTAAAAACCTTAGAATGCAACTAAAAAGAGATTGAAGACCATGTTAAAAAATGAGGTAATTACGTGGAATCTTGCAGCCGCTTTACCTAATATCAAATATACTCCAGTTCTTAAACACTGGAAGTTCTTCGATGCCATACCATATTGCATGTAAATAAAACTAATTGTCATGATGGTTTATTGAAATATGCTTGACAAGTAGCAATCAATTTTCCTAGCTAGTCAATGGTTATATTTTTTCAACATTTTCAGAGTCTGTATATTTCAGTTTCATACTTTCTCTAACAATATTTTCACACAATAAAAGCCTTTCTTGTTTGTGACATTTTCAGATCATACAAAGTAGATGTTACACAAAAACTCCTGTGTCAAATAGTGGTATCTTCTATTCTACAGCTGACGGTAGTTCTTATAGACACAGACTAGCTTTAAAAATACACAATAAAATGCCACTATAGACATGCTCAAGATACTAACTTCTTGTTTTCTGAATGCATCTTAAACCCTTTGCAGCTCTGCTTAAATTACTACAGAAGCTACTGTTATGATTCCACGTACAAAGGAGCCCCAAAAGTCCTCTATGAGTTAGAGCAACAGACCTTGCAAGGTGCTTGGATTGCGGTGACCAGAAAATTGTTCTCACCTCCATGTCATTACGCTCACAGTGAAGCAGCCCCCAAGCATGTTTGTGTTCGGGATCTAATATATTGCCTTTCAATCAGAGCTGAGAGCCACTGAACACATAGACAGAACATGACGAGCAGGTCAGGAAAGCAATAAAGATTTTACAGAGCTGTCCAAGGTGCTAAATTTACTCAATAATGGGTTTGGCACCATAGTGTTAACCTCTCATTTACTACCAGTTTGAGGGACTAAATTGAAGTAGCTGACTTCATTTACCTTGAAATGTATATTTTATGACATTATGTAAGTAGATTGAAAGGGCACTGCAGTTTTAACAATTTAAAGGCTAGAGCATGTTTAAGATGAAGCTTGAATATTTATTGTATATTGCACTTAAACTATACTGTATATTAAAATGCATTGATTAAATTTGTAAAAGGTATTATAAAAAAGGACAGCTAATATAAAAGATCTATGTCTTTTAAAACCCAGTTGGTACTGCATGTTACCACTGCAACGGTAATAGATAAACAGACAGGCAGGTGGACAGAGCAGCAGACAGGCATAGTAAAAAGTGAGTGAAACTCACATTCTGTAAAAAGAAGTCTCTGCATAGGTTGAAAGTCTGTTATCCTGTATAGTCTTTTGTTCACAGAAATTATTCTTTGCCCTCATCTCAGAAGCCTAGATTTTCATAGCAGTAAGTGGGCATCGTGTAAGGTCCTTTCAATTGAATATGCAAGTGGAAATATTTCCTGAGACAGACAGAGTTTGACTAAAGCTAATATCTAATTTATGGGGACATTTGTCAAGAAAGATCCATTCTTCTGTTAATGCTAAAAGTCTGACAGCTTTTGGTTTAGAATAAAGGATTTGCAACATTTAGTTAGAGCTAAAGTGAGGGTCTTCTTGTCTTGCATTTTATTTCAAATGAGCATCGTTTTATTTCTATTAAAAATAATAATTGAGCAAATATTGAAAAGAGGAAAGATTACTTTAGTGATTAAATACGATGTATCTGAACTCTGCCCTCCATGCAGCTACACACCACAGATCCAGAGTCCATTTATATTCAAACTGAAGCTGATTTTCTACTGAGAAATTTTTACTTTTCAATTTTTGAAACAGGAATTCAGTTAAATAGTTTAATAAAATTTTCCTCTTGAAAATACTGAGGAGTATTTACATAAGCAAAAGAGGAGAGTGGGTAGTGAAATCTGCTGCAACTTTGCATATTCTGAAATTACTGTAGGAAAGATTATATAAATCATACCGGAATGACTGTGCTTTTCAAGCACAAAGACTGAAATTCAGACTGGATCCACTCTGACAGGAGGTACCTTGGGCCAACATTACAGCAACTTTGCATGTTTTGTTGGCACGCGTTCCCTTCAGAAGGTATTTGTTAAGATCATGAAACTTTCATTTCAAATTTTATCACGACAAAAACATTTTGTATCATTTTATCATGATAAACACATTTTGTGCCAATTTTAAAAAAGATGTGATATTTCCTCTGTTGACATCTGCTTGCTTTTCATTCAGCAACTACTGAAAAAAATGTACTGTGTCCCAAAAGGGCTGTGAGTCTAGTCAGCTAAAGGGTATCTAGAAATACACTGAGTTATTTGGCTTAAGTAACTAAATAGATAATGTTCAAGGTATTTGTTAAATCTAAACGAATTTTGTCAAGAAGCAGCTGACCACAATATATAATACTCATCAGCCACATGTTGTATTATCGAGACCACCAAAGGATTTATGTACTTGAGGAGGGCGTGGGAGGGAAAGTGTTCTAGCATACTCTGAGGCATTTATCTTATGTGTTGTCTAGATATCATATCACCTTCTAATGCTCTTTAGCATTGTAATACAAGAGAGAGCTCATTCATCTTCTGAGAGGGTACTTAGGGATGATGATGTCATTCATACTTCCTTGACTCTTATGTCTGACCTCCTGGCTCTGCCTTCTAACTTCGTACTCTCATGGCTACTTGCAAGAAAAAAACTCTTCTGCAGAGTCAAAATGCTGACCATCAGTCTTCAGTTCCCTTCTTCACCTTGGAAAGTTCACATTCTGAAATTATGAGTCAAAATTACAATAATTTGTGCTCAAATTTTTCCTTTATTTTTCAGTGGGTAAAACTATAAATGTGCTAGTTAAGGAAGTGTGTTAGAAATAAGTTTTAAACTTATACATAATATTTGTGTATGCATTATATTTTAAATTATAGAGATGAAACTGTGAACATCTCTTTCAAATGTAAAGGCAAAACCAACATTTTGGTAGAGAGACATTCAGAAGGATGCCACAGATCTAAAATGCCAGCTATCTATCTTGGTATACAAGAGTTTCAGCC